ATGAACGATTGAATGTATACAGCTGTGTGAAATAATATTCTGTGTTTATAGGCATATACATACAAATTCATTCTATAATGTATATAAAAGTAATAATATTAATAATTGTAATCTGATGATTCATATCATTCAAAAAAATATGTTCTGCATTCGTATAAAAAATAAGAATGAAAGAGTAGTGTAGAGTAAAGAAATGTATGAGTAATTTTAATTCTATGAACATTTTTTGTTATATGGTGCAAATAGAAAATATGTGTAGGAACATAATATTATGTTTGCATGTAGGTAGATTTTATTAAGTTAATTTCGCTATAAATTGATGTACAAAAAAAAATTTGGAATCCTTTTTTGGGTGAAATTTTTTTTTTTTTAAATTTAGGGGTTTTTTAAGTTTTCAATGGCGCCCCTATTTTTTATCGCCCATTGCAAATGCATACTTTGCATGTATGATAAATCCGGGCCTGTTTATATCACAAAAACAACAACAAACGTGAAATAAAATAAATTAATGAAAATAAAAACTTCCGGATTTAAGAGGAACAAACAGTTATATTTCATATGTAAGTAATTGATTAGTAAAAAAAATTCAAATAAAATGGCATTCTTCGTTTTGGTTTTAAGTACGACAAAAATCGCGAAAGTACGAAATAATTTTTAATTTTTGCATGTCACTCTAGATCTAGAATGCATCTTACTATAATTTAGATTAGTTCTTCTAAACGCTATTTTCGAACAAAAGTGCTTAAATAAGCAAAATGTTAGAATTATAAATTTTGATTTTATGTGACTGTAAAGTAATATACATAACCAGAAAGATATCTACAATATAAGAATGTAAAATGGTTGCTTGGAAAAGGAAAATATGATGCTTATAATAATATTATTTAAATATCACTAAATTCAAAATTCTGACCAAAAAAGATGTTTTTTTTTCAGAATCTTCTATATACTATGAAATTTTTGGCATTATAACAAAAAGTTTTCAAGCTTAAATGCTAACATTGATCACAATACTATTGGATTGGATCGAATTACAGGAAAACTCACCACAAAAGACATTACGAAGATATGAAAAACGGAGATATCAGAAGAACAACTAACGGTCTATATGGTTATGAAATATCAGAGCGGGAATACAAACTCAAAGCTAAGGGTATTGGAAAACTGTAATTCAATTTCATAATTTTGTTTTTAATAAATTGTTTTGTTCTCTTTTTTTTTTGCATTTTTTTTATACATACTCGTATAATAATTTACCGATTTAGGAAAACTTCATTAAAATTTTCAAAACAATTTTAATAAATTCTTTTAAAGTTGAAATTACAACAAAAACTTGTGAATAATCCTATGTTTAAAATCCTTGAAAATTTTTGGTTTTTTGATTGAAATTCAAAAGTTTTTATTGTAATAAAATAAATAGCATTAAAATCGCATCCATTAGATTGATTAGGTCAAGATAAGAAACCAATAAAAATTGATTTTTCTTAAAATACAGTACATCAAAAATTAACGAATCGTTGGAAAAATTGTATAAATTACTTAATAAATTTATTTTAGAGTCCTTTACTTCACATTGTCAGAAAAGCTTAATGCCAATATTTAGAAAAGAAACTAACACGACATATGACTATTATTATTATTTCGTTAAATTTGGTAATTAATTCATTCACTAAAGAAAACTGGTAAAAATTGAAGTTTTTTAAAGTTATCAAATTATGCGTGTAAATATGTAGTTATTCAAAGTTTTAGTCGGAATATGTTAAACACATAAGCGACCACACTCATGTTTTTTATTGAGTAAAGATTTTAAATAAGAAATAAAATTTTTAGTCATATTAGGGATGCGTTAAAAAAATAAGGTCTTTTTAAACATTTTTAACAACAATGTAAAACAAAAAATATTGAATTGTTTACAAACAACAAGGAAAGACCAAATATAATGTATAACAATTCCAAAATTTAATAAATCTAAAAATAAATCTAAAAATAGGAACTGCAAACTCACGTTTACGAAATATCACAAAACTCAACAACAAGGGGCTGGAAATCCACTTTTAATATAAACTTTTTATAAGCATATTTATTATGTACATGGATACATAAATATGTGCATATGTACATTCATTCGTTTTCTTTTATTTATTGATGCGAGATGTATGAAAAGTTGCCTGAAGGTGGTATCTGTTCAGCCACAAGGGTTGCAAATTGGGTATTGCTGTTCCTCGACATTGCTACAGCATATAATACATAGATATGAAATTGAAGTATACTTTCACACAACCTAAACGCATTATGCAAATACAGATATTCACTCACCAATATATTATTCGTATGCATGTATAAATAAATTCTTTTATTTCATGTTTTGATGTGAATTTTTTAATTTTTTCCCTTTATTTTCACCAACAAAAACAAAAAAACAATCCCTTTTATCTTATCTCACTCTTTAATATTTAAATAGATCAAAGGAGGAGAGAAGGCCATCCGTCAGAATAAGAATAGAGTGAAAATAACATACAAAAACAAGAATCTTTAATAGATACCTTTATATACACACGTTTATAGAAGCAAAATGGAAACCAGTAAAAGAAAAAAGAAGAATAGATGTGAATTTCAGGAGTTAAGTTAAAAGTACGAATTTGCAATTAATGTTAGTGTGTATGTATATAGCCATAGACAAATTCTATATTTGAAAATAAAGAATGACTAACGAATGAGAAAAATCTGCTTATATTTTAAACGAAATCTGTGTGAATACAACAAAATAATTTTTTCCATGTTTTATATTTTTAGCAGACATTTTATACAAAACATTTCTTTCTTGTTCAAAATTTTCAAGCTTAAAAACCAGGATATTGTAGTGTATGACATGCATACATCGTTGTATAATGTGAAAAAAGAATGAATTCATACATTACGACAAAAAATGGTATTTAAGTACTACATCCGAATTAAATATAACCTTAGGTTAAAAAAGGATGTTACAAACAATGGAAAAAATATGTGAAAAATGATTTGAGGAATTTTTACTTTATATTTTTTCGGGCGCAGGCTGAAATTAGTTTGTGATATACATTTTGCATAAAATGCTTTTTCATAAATAGGAATGTATGGAAAATATTTTCCACAGTAGTTTTTCATGCTTCGGAATTGCATTGGATCCACATGCGAGCATGAATTATTGAAAACCTACATTCAAAACTAACTTCATCTGCGCGTACGTTCGCCCAAATGTCTGTCTGCAAAAGTTACACCATCTACAATTAAAAGCTGAATTAACTTGCAAATAGGTCTCTACTAAAAAATTATTACCTATATCTTGTTCTATAAAATTATAGAGAAAAATCCCGAAAAATCGAATTCTTTTACATAAATTGAAATATGTATTAAAATCACAAACATTTTCTAAATTCCACAAATACAGAAATTCAGAAACTTGCCTCTTCTACTATGAATGAGCAAAGTCAAATATTGCAATGGCATAATGACATTTCAAAATTCAATGTTTTTAATTTTTGATATCACTTTTTTACAGATGACCAGTTGTAGAATTCTGAAATTTTAGCGTTAAGTTGTTAAAGTCTCAAAATTCACAAAGTCTCGATTTTCGGAAATTGCAAACCATTCTGAATTTCTATAAGAGCACATATAAAAAAATTTTTATATATATTAATAAGAATAATTTAAGCAGCAGACCATTTTTAAAAAAAGTTCTTTCATTTATTTTAGGGAAATGTGCTATCTTACATTATCGGAATTAATTAAAAATCTTTTTCTAATTTCAACTAAAATAACAACTAATAACAACTAAAATAAGTTGATATTTTAAAAATTTTAAAGTACTTCTTTGAAGTTACTACATTCCAATTATATAGAAACATATTGTCTACATTCTACAAGTATTTGAACTTTATGAACAAAAAATTAATGCTAAGGTAAATTCACATGTATAAAAATACTCGGGATTAATATTTTTTGACTTATTTTTTGACATATAAGTGTAATACATCATTTTTATACAATTATATTACACAATAAATCGATGATATATATGAGATTGTTTTTCATCTTAAAAGATAACTTGAGTAAATCAACATTCATCCAAGACATTCTTTTGGAAAGACAAGTAATTTTACCTTGCTTTAGTCATGACGCTTCGATTGAACTAAATACTATTAATAGGATTGAAAATTTGACACCCTATCTAAAAAATGGAGGTGTGTTTGAAACTGGCAAGTATAAAATTAATATCGTTCAAAAATGTGCTGTTTCAAAATTGTGAATATGATATTGCAGATACATAGATAGATCAATAGATTTATTTTACAAGTAAAAAGAATTAATTTTATTACAAAAAGAAAAAGTTCCGCAGTATATCCCCTTTTGAATTATTTCTCTTCTATCTGATTAGAATATCCTTGAATAAAAATAACAATTTCATGTTCCAATTGGATTTCTTTTTTTTTTTGAATTTTTAAAGGTTATAAAATCTGCCATTAAGTATTATTAAATTTAATATTGCAAAATAATCTTAAATATTCTATTTTTTTATTTACTTCTAATTTTTGTTTTTAAAGTATAAATTTTAACATCCTTCATTTATCCTTTTCAAAGGAAAAACACAAAGAAAAAAAAACGATATAAATACAGTAGAGTCGCGATATAGTGACCAATTAAATGTTCAGGGTGGTCATTGTTACGAGGAGTCTACTATTCCGAGACTAGTGTTTTTTTTTCTTCAATCAATATTATAATTTATTCTTCATCAGTAAAGGTTACATTTGTTTCAGAAAAATAATTTTAAAACTCTTATTTTTAATAAAGTACGCTTATTTAATTTTATTTAAAAATAAAAATTATAAAATAAAAGTAATAACATCCATTCAGTTCAAAACAAATACATAAAACAAAACTAAAAATTAACAAAGAATCTGAAAACATAAGTTAGGAATTTAAATAACTTTTTACATTTATTTGAAAGAGTTCTGGTTTTGACGCATTCATTTGAAAAAATCTGTAATCTTGCATTCTTTAAATGTTTGCTTACTTTGCTCCAAAACAGCTCTTTCTCGAATATTTTTCAAAACGGAAATTTCTTCGTTTGTTGCACGATTTTCTAATGCGTATTTCAAACAGTCGTTGATGGCTTTGATTCCATCAGAATGACTCATTTTAGTTTGAACTTCTACTACCTCTTCAGATACGTCAGTATCATCAGATTCAATTTCAACAGCAGGAGTTTCATCATCTAAGTTTACATCTTCATTCCACGTATAAATATCTTTTGATGATAAGTTGGCATTTGGACAAATCTTCTGAAATAATGATTTTGTAATGTTCATTTCCTGATTTGAAAACATTTGGGATTTTAAATTTATTAATGGGATTTCATCTTCAGAATCATATTCATTATCGAAAGAAGTAGAAAGAATTTTTTTCCAACACTTAGCTATCATTACAGGTTCTAAACTTTCCCAAACTTTCGATAAGTTTGTAACAGCATTACGAAGGTTAAATTTTTTCAATATAAATTCTAAATCTTCAGCCTTATTTGCGATTATGTGGGACAGAAGTAGATTTCTGTATTTCAATTTTGTGATTCTAATACAGTTTTGGTCCATAGGTTGGATTAGGGCAGTAACATTAGGCGGCATAAACATTGTAATGATTTGACCATCATCACTTATGAGTTCATCTTCAGGTGGATGACTTGGAGCATTGTCAAGCAAAAGAAGAGCTGTTTTACGAAGACCTTTTTGTTCAAGGTAGCATCTCACTTGAGGAATAAATTTTGTGTCGAACCATGTTTTGAAAATTGAGCAAGTCATCCAAGCTGATTTTGAAGAATCATAATCTACAGGAATGTGTTTATTTTTCAGGCAACGTGGATTTTTTGACTTTCAAATAACAAGAGGTCTTATTTTATGATCACCAGACGCATTCGTGCACGCTAAAAATGTCAAACGTTGTTTACAAACTTTTCGGCCAGGCGCATTTTTTTCTTTGTTTGAAACGTAAGTTTTATCCGGAATCAGTTTCCAATATAAGCCTGTTTCATCCGCGTTGTAGATTTGATCCGGCGCTAGATTAAGCTGCTTTATTTTTTCTGCTAATTTGATTAAAAAAGGATCTACAAGTTCTTTTTGAGAAGACAACTTTTCACCACAAATTTTTATAAATCGAATTCCGTGTCTTTTTTTGAATTTTTGGAGCCAACCAGAACTAGCAGAAAAGTCATCTTTTTTATATATTTTTTTGTAAAAGTATTTAGCTTTGTTCTTTAAAATGGTACCATCAATCGGTATATTTTTTTTTCTGCCTTCTAAAAACCATTCATACAACATTTTTTCTAGCTTAAAGAATTCACCAGTGCGCATTGTTTTTCGTTTACCTATACAGGTAAAAAAGTCATTTTTACACAGAAATAAACACTAATTATAAATTAATGTATGTACTTCTACTTACCTAGGCCACCAAATGAATTAGCATTAGTAGAACTAAGTTTTTGACTCTGTTTTTTTATAGAGAAAATTGTAGACTTTGCAATACCATACTTCTTTGCTAAAACTGAACTGCAGACTCCTTTTTTTAATTCATCTAGAATTTCTAACTTTTCTTTTAGAGTTAAAAATTTTCTAATATTTCCAGTCATTTTTACTTATTAGGGAATTGAAAGACTACGATATTATTGTTTTAACACTTCCAAATTACTGACAAAAAATGTAAAGCAATGTACAGAAATGCAAATATAGAAAGCAAAACAAAAAAAAACAACTCCAATTGTAACGGTTTTACAATAAGGAAAAAAACATGTGGTTGATTTACAAAAAATATTTTTTAGGGTCACTATTTAGAGTTACAAAATTGTTTTGGGTCACTATTTAGAATACGCAAAATTCAAATGGTTGGGTCACTATATTGGGAGGTCACTTTACTGGATGGTCACTATATCGCGACTCCCCTGTATATTCAATCAAATTATGCCAAAGAATTGATTTTCGGTTTTGTTTTCCTCTTTTATTTGTATTTTTTTTTATTTTTTTTTTTGTTATCTTTTTCGAGATTTTATTCGATTTTTAGAAATAAAAATATATCGAAGAAAATTTTTTGAATTTCTGAATTTTCATCTCTTGTTGTAATAATGGCGGCATTAATTTTTTTTGAATTTCCTTTTTCTAGTGGATGGATATTGTGGAAAATTAAACAGCTGCTACTGTTGTTTCTCTTTTGTTTTTACTCTTGGTGCTGCACAGTTTTCCTTATACGCTTACTATATTTTATTTTTAAAACATACTTGGTTGCTCTTGTTCTGATTGTTGGTCGAATTTTCCAAACTGCAAAAACAAAAAAAAAGCGAAAAAAAGGAAAAAAAAGTTCGAATAAAAAACCATATATAACGTACACAGTAACTAAAAAAGAATAATAAAATAAAATTTACATTTTCACAAAATATACATGCATAATATCAAAATAAAATCAAAATAAAAAAGCAAAATAAAATAATCAAAAGAGTAAATAAATAAAGAACATATTCGAGCAGCGAAACCATGAGGAAAAAAGAAAGAAGAAAAATTTTATTTCAATTTCTGGTTAAAAATTTTGGCTGGAGGGATGGTTGACTGAGGGTTGTGGCTTTTTTTTTTATTTTGTGTTTTCATTTTATTTTTATTTAATTCTCCACCCGATCTGATGGAAAATTTTGATTTTAAATAATTTTTGATGAAAATTTTTTAACGTTTATTTTTTTAAAAGGCATAGTTTAGATTTATAGATTTAATTTGAATTTTTTGTTTATTGTTTCAATAAGTTTAGGTATTTATTATTAAATTGAACCCCATAACAAATTTATGGCAACACTATAGACATATTCGTGCATTAGATACTTACATATATTAATATGTGAGTTGCTAATTTCTAACTTAATAGTGCATTTTTGCAACATCGTTGAAAAAATATAATTGAGCACAGACAATTGAATACCATCGATACTTCAATAAGAAATTTCAACTAAATCTAATTTTATGTCTTACACTCAAAATTGTGACTTTAGTTTTATTGCAACGGCTAGTTGCTTCTTATTACTAGTAAACTTAACGCCAAATTTAAAGAGCAATTTTTAAGAGAATAATTTAAAGCAGAGTGTCAAAAAATTGAGTCTTTATTTGTGATTATTCATGTTTCAGAATGATAACGAATGTGAACATGCAAAAATCTTTCAAAAATGGCTTATGAGGTGTGGTAATTATACTTATACCCCACCATTACCTGACGTGAGCCGATTGAACATTTTTAGAATTTGCGTCGATAGCAATCCTCTCATAATCATAATACCTTAACAATTTTTAAGCCATTTGATAACATAACTAGCAATTAAAGACAACCCAATCAAATTAATTGTTATATCACTTTTGAGCACTTTACCCTTAAAGTACAATAAAGACCCTGAACGATAAAATTTTTATAAGCTTTTACTTCTTAAACCAATTAAGCTATCAATATTAGGCTGGCCATTTTAGTAAATAGCATTACAATTTTTTTTTTCAGAGAGATAATATTCTTTGTAAACTTTATGTTGACTTATATAAAAAAAAATCTGATATGATCAACACATAATCACGGAACACATTAAATTTCACGGAAATTAGGTGATTATTTCTCTTTATATATGCAAAAGTGTAAGAAGCTTGGCTCGTATTTTTTGTTTTATTTACTTTATATTTACATTATGTCAGATGTTTCGATCACGCGGCTGTAAACGAATTGAACCTTAATTATGATATACATATGTACACAATTCCATATACATAAATCCTTTTTTTTTTTATTATAACATAAATGCATGTAATTTACGCAAAATTTTTCTGGCTACTTAGGTTTATAACAAAACATAAATAAAGTTGGGTCAAACCAATAAGTATGTGAAAATACTGCTTCTAAAAACAATCTAGGTATGCCTACTATACCATTAAGATACTTTTATTCATGACCGTAATTATTTCATTAAGGATTGCATTAATTTATGATGAGCGATTTATGCAGCTCTGAAATAAAGCAAAAAAAGTTTAAAGAGGTGTTTACATAATGCTCGATTTTAATTGCGTGAGTTAAGAAAAATAATTGTATTTTTTAATGGTATGAAATTTACCGTTAGTTTTCTGCGTTAATAGAAATTTGAAAAAACTTGTGGTTTTGGAAATATAAGGCGCCAAAAGTTAAAATTTTACAAATTTCGAGAGGTGATAACTTGAAAGGGGGTGGAGGTAGGAAAGAATTTTCTTGTAACGTAAATTTCAGACTCCTACAAAGTATAATATAAAAGAAAAAGTGTATCAAAAATTTGGAAAAAAACGAACTTTAGATAACGGTAAATTTTAGCAGCCATTTTGTGTTTTAAAGTTGAAGTGTGGTATGACGCGTTAGAAGAAGCCAGCTACTATTTTTCTGCGTTTGCAAAATTTGAAAAATGCTTATGGTTTCATTGCAATAAATAGTTAAAAAATGGCATTTTTGGTGGGGTATAACTTTTAGATGTAGGGAAATAGGAAAAAATTTTGTTCTACGGAAATAAGTTTTAGTAAAGATCTATATACATTTCTGCTTTTTATCCTCAGGGATGTAGAAGTTTTGTAAACATGTCCAAGGACGGACGGACGGACAGAGTGAAAATAATAAGCAATTTTTTTCAAAATTTTTTATGGAAAAGTGCTAAAGAAACCTTTTTTTGAGTATTACTTTATTATAACCTGCACCATCATGAAGGATGTATTAACTTTGTTATGGAGTTTGCAACTATTTGAAGAAGTCATCAACGGTATGTCATCAGGCCAAATCCGATGGCGCAACCATATTGTATTCTTTATCTTCGGAAAAAACATAGAAAAAGAAAACGGAAAGAACAAGAAAAAATATATCTGAATTCTCCCAACATTTTAAGGTAAGTATATGATATTATAAATTGTACACAGATTTGTTGCAGAACTTTTTTATTTTTGGGTTATGTTTCTTTTCTCATAAATTTAATAAGCCTGTTACGAGGCGCAGCGGCGATAACATTCGTTTCTGTATAATTCTTTTCCGCAAAATGAATAAAATCAGCAAAGAAATATAATTCGCGCATGAATCATTATAACGCATACGAAATTAAGTAATACAAGAGTAAAAAAAAAGAGTTTTTTTATGTTTGGTTTTACTCGTACACTTAAGCACCCAAGAAAGTTTTGCGTTAATTAATAATTACATGCATTTTGTTATGTTATAACAAAAAAAATAATATTTATGTATATATAAATGAGTACAAATGCATATAATAGTTAAGGTTCAATTCGTTTACAGCCGAGATGATCGAGACATCCGACATAATGTAAATATAAAGTATATAAAACAAAAAATATGGAGCAAGTCTACATTTTGGCGTATATAAAAAGAAATATTCACCCAATTTTCGTGATATGTTAGAATTATATTCAGGAGAGTTATACCGTGAACTTAAAAAGTGTTTGGAAATTTCAGCGTTTGGAAGCCAAACCAGGAGCCAAAATTTGATTTGTTATCATATTTATGGAACTAATTGATGGAATTTCTTGAAATTAAAAATTTGAGTTCTGTTTGCTACCAAATCTAACTGACGACCTTTTAAGGAAATTTCGTTAGCGTAAAGTGAGCCTCCGATAAGAGCTAAATTTACATTTTTCTAGGTATGTTAAGTAAAAGCGTAAAAGCCTCCCTCAAATTTATGAAGAGTATTTAAAAGGCATTTTCGTAGTCTTATGCAACATAGTTCTTTTACTTATACATACACTTAGTTTCTCTAAATTGTAGCATTACCTGTGATAAGTCGCTCACAGGTGAGTACGAACTGTACGAAGCCTTTTAGATGTGCTCATGGGTTACAAGATGGAACTCAAAGTAACTATTTTTTATATTTTTTATAGTCATGAAGCTCAACAAGTTAATTTTGTTTTACCGTTTTCAAAACCATTTGAAATTAGTGCGATTAGCACTAGGGGCTTCTAGTGTATATATATTCTTTCTCAGCGTAAAATTCTGCGTTGATTTAGTCCGTCCGATCGCATGATAACTCAAAAACGAATAATGTAATCGACACCAAACTTTCACAAGTTTTTTGTTTTCTGCCAAGGACGAACCCTTTTGTAGTTAGACCTATTCGGACAACGGGTTCGGGTAACTGCCATACAACTCAAAGAGTTTATTATAGATATTCCAAAAACTAATAAAGGTGTAAATATGAAATTTTGTATACGTGTGTCCAATTACATTCTACAAATGTCTTAAAAAATTCAATGGGATCCTTGGACCGGTTCAGGTGGCTGCCATACAACTACAGAAGCAAATTTTATATATTCGTAAGAATAATAAAGCTAGATTCATAAAACTTGACAGTTGTATGCAATTGCTTGACAGGTTCGAGTAGCTGCCATATAACTCCAAAAGCTAATTTCAAAAAAATTTAGAAAAATAATGAAGCCAGATTCATGAAACTTGGCAGTCGTGTGTCCAATTATAGGTCAGACGTATTCGTGAAGTTTATGTAAAATATTTACGCAGTTTCGAGCAATTGCTATGCAACAATGAAAGGTGCAGGGTATATCGATTCATGCACGAATTATATTTCTTTTTTTTTATTTTACTCGTATATATTAATGTATAATGTTATTATACATTATATATTAAATGTATGTTATCGCTTCTGCTGCCTAATAGGCTTATTAAACGTATGAGAAAATAAACATAACACGGAAAATAAAAAAGTTCTGCAACACTTCTGTGTACTATTTATAATATGATAATACACATACCTAAAATGTTGGGAGAATTCAAAAAAATTTTCTTTTTCGTTTTCGTTTTCTATGTTATTCCTCCGAAGATAAAGAATATAAGCGAAAATACACGATGGTCTCATTTGATTTGTATAATACAATATAGATTTCTTTATAGATATAAAGAAAAGTTAAAAATATTTAACTTTTAAAAGAAGTTTACTATATAGATAGTGAACTCCTATTAAAAGTTAAATATTTTCTTTAATCCTAGCATAATATTCTTTACAGGATAAACCAGATTATGTGAAGAAATATTATGTTTTAAAATAAAAATAATTTTGATGGTTTAGAATTTAATGCGACTTTTTCTTCTACATTATTAATTAATGAAAAAATTGTTTCATAGTTTGCATTTTTGCCAGGTAAGCAAAATAAAAAGCTAACGATATTAAATATATTTTTATTTAATATATTCTTGTTTAATATTAACATGTTTACAACCTTGTACACCCTTGAAAATAGAAAGTCCCTGATATTTCAAACGTACATAGATCTTTATCGGAAACTTCTTTCCGTGGAATAAAACGTTTGTCTATCCCCCCATCTCTAAAAGTTATAGCCCCCAAAAATCTTAAAAATGTATATTTTTAACTATTTTTTGCAGTGACCATAAGCATTTTTTGTATTGTGTAAACGCAGAAATGTAGTGGCAGGTTTCCTCTGCGGCATACCATATTTGAACTTTAAAAAAGCAAAATACTCGTACTAAAATTCAAATCCAAAGTGCATGCGGCTTTGAAATATTTTCTTATATGCAGTTCCATCTCCTTCTTGGCAAAAAAAGCAAAAATTGAAATCCATCGCTTTTCAAAACATAATTCTTCAATTTTTATTTTCACTATTATTTATTTTCGCTATTATAAACTTATTTATAAAACTTCAAATATTGTTATATATAATATATAAATTCAAATATTTCGTATAGTTAATGTTAGAAAATTTAGGAATTCTTTCATTAGTTTTTTCTCTCGCTTTCTCATCTTTTAAATAACATTTACTTTAAATTCAATTAAATTATTTATTTAACTGAAAGGATAGGGCCATTCCGCAGTGTAAAAGGTGTCGAATGTTTGTTTGGAGGCCCACCCAGCAAACAATAGGGGATGCCTTGTAGTTAAGGAACTGCAAAAACGTAGGAATAACAAACAACAAAAAAAACAACAACAATTTGAAGAAGAATTCTAATCCGCTACCGAGGCAATTCACTTCCAGAATAGTATCAAAAGATGTAACATACAAGGACGTTCTCCAAACGGAAACCGATGACATAAACACGAGCAATAAAACAAGGGCTAGTGTCGTGAATGTTTTATATAAAATGCAACATATGCTAGACATGATGGACAAAATCTCTTAAAGGTTGAGCATTTTAGAGAGCTAGAGAAAAAAATCGAATAACAAAAAACTTGATAAATGATGGCATGAGGTAATTTTAAATAGCAACATGGAATTGCAATGGTATTGCAAATAAAAAGGACATGCTTGAAGTTTTTCTACATACACAGAATATATAGACGTGTATCTCGTAACTGAAACACATAAATGACGTTAAGAAGCAGGATTCGAAGTTATAGAATTTACAACTCTAACCACCCTGGAAATATAGCGGACGGCAATAGTTATAAAAGAAAATAAAGTGCATTGTGATCAGCACCAAAGGCAAGTCAAGGGAACGCAAATGACGGTAGTTCAGATCACTTCGACTAAACAAAAATTTGCAGTAGCTGCATTATATTGTCACTCCAGATTTAAAATAACGGGAAAAATGTTTCAAAACATTCTGGGCGATCTAGACGACAGATTTACAGGTGGAGTAATGGTATGGGGTTGTATGGCCACATCTGGAGTTGGGGAGCTTGTGTTTATTGAAGGAACAATGGATAAGATGATGTTCATAAATATTCTTAAGGAAAATCTTAAGAAAAGCGCAATCAATTTGGGTCTGGGTAATCATTTTCATGTCCAACAAGATAATTACCCGAAACACACGGCAGATATTGTAAGAGGGTGGATATTATATAATGTTTCCGGTACTCTAAAAACTTCTCCCCAATCTCCAGATATCAATCCCGTTGAACATTTATGGGATGTTTTAGAAAAAAGGGTTGGAATTCATCACATTACCTCTAAGACCCAATTGAAGGATGTTTTAGCAAACGTATGGGCGAATATTCAACCAAGTATTACTCAAAATCTAGTCAATTCAATATTCCTAACAGACTAAAAGAAGTTTTGAAACGAAAAGGAATGCCTACTTCATATTAGTTACTAATATTTTTTTTATAAATTAAGATACACCATGTGTTGTGCCTATACTTTTTTCGCACCGAATTTGCCTTAAAATTTTTATTTAATTATTTTTTGACTTTTCGGTTACGAATTTAAAAATTTGTTATTACGTATTGAATGAAGAATGAATTAATGAACAAATTTTACTTTTAGTGTTTTTTTGTAGAGTTTATATTTTTTTCAGAAATTCGGTTCAAACATAAAATTTCTAGCTGTGCCTATACTTTTTTCGGTCAGTGTAGGTAATTTTAGTTTTTATCAAATAAAAGTATAGTTTTTAGTTTTAAAAAATGGCTAATACTAATACATAAAACATAACTTTTTTATGTGATGATACATTTATGATTAACGTTAGTTTACATTATAATAATTCATTAAGATGTATTTACATACATAACATCTTACTTTTTATACCCTGCACTTCGTGAAGGGTATATTAACTTTGGTATGGAGTTTGTAACTACTTGAAGGAGTCATCTGCGGTATGGACATACATATATATTCTTGCTCAGCGTAAAATTCTGCGTTGATTTAGACATGTCTCTCCGTCCGTCCGTCCGTCCGATCGCACGATAACTCAAAAACAAATAATGCAATCGACACCAAACTCTCACAAGTTGCTTCTTTTGTGCCAAGGACGAACCCTATTGTTATTGGACCAATTCGAATAACGGGTTCGGGTAGCTGCCATACAACTCAAAGAGTTTATTTTAATTATTTCAAAAACTAATAAAGGTACAAATATAAAATTTTGTATGCATGTGTCCAATCATATTCTACATATGCTCTAAAAATTGTAATGAGATAGCTGCACCTGTTCGGGTGGCTGCCATACAACTCCAAAAGCAAATTTTTTATATTCGGCAAAATAATAAAGTCAGATTCATGAAACTTGGCAGTCATGTGTCCAATTATAGGTCAAAGATATTTCTGAAGTTTTGGTGGAATTGCTTGACAGGTTCGAGTGGCTTCCATACAAGTCCAAAAGATTATTTTAAATATTTGGAAAAATAATAAAGTCAGATTCATGAAAATTTTCAGTTGTGTGTCCAAATATAGGTCAAAGATATTTGTGAAGTTTTGGTGGAATTGCTTGACAGGTTCGAGTAGCTCCCATACAAGTCCAAAAGCTTTTTTTAAATATTTGAAAAAATAAAAAAGTTAGATTCATGAAACTTGGCAGTTGTATGTCCAATTATAGATCAGATATATTAGCGAAGTTTTAGTGGAATTGTTTGGCAGGTTCGGGCACCTACCATACAACTCCAAAAGCTAATTTTAAATATTTGGAAAAATAATAAAGTCAGATTCATGAAACTTGGTAGTCGTGTGTTCAGTTATAGGTCAGACATATCCGTGAAGTTTCTATAGAATGGTTTTACAGGTTTGAGTAATTGCTATACAACAATGAAAGGTGCAGGGTATAATTCAATCGGTTCATACCGACTGAAACGTTTTTACTTGTTTTAAATTTCAAAATGTTTATTTCCCAATATTTAATAATTATAAATTATAATTTCAATTATTTCAAATTCAATTTTCAAATAAAACCTTTTTTTTTTTTGAATTTACATAATTATTTAACAATTATTTTTTTGAATTTACATTATTATTTAACAATTACATAAGTAATTTATATTTTTGTACATTTTGCAGAAAATACATAATGCTTACGAATTTAACTTTAAATTCTTATTACTTTCAAATAAGACCACATTTTATGAATTTATTTTAATTATTGTAATTTAATCGATTAAGTTGGACTACTGTTCTACGCTTTTGAGTAATATATTCGTTTTCATTATTTTTGTTACTATCAAAACTTTCAATTTTATTTGTATTTTCAATTTCTGATTTTTGAATATCAACATCTAAATCTATGTCAACTTTTTGTTTTTCTTGTTTTCTTTTCAAAATATGCTCACGATTCCTGCGATACAGAACACCCTCGCTATCCTGAACAATAAAAGATCGAGGTTCCTTACAGTTTTGCGTTATGACTCCAGGAAACCAAACAGAAGTTGGATTCTTTTTAAACATTACTTTTTCACCCGGTTTGACTGGCTTTAAATTTCTAGAAACCCTATTATAATATTTCGAAGAATTTTGATTTTGTTTTTGAAGACGTTTTTTGTATTCGTATGTATTGATAATTTTTGGCTCGAAATTCCTAGTGATAGCAGGTATTTTTGTTGTGAGACTTCTGGACATCAAAAGTTGAGCTGGACTTGGCATACCATTTGTTTGAGTGGTTCGATAATGTAGCAAAGCCACATATGGGTCATTTTTAGTTTCTTCACACTTCGTAAGTAATTTTTTAATTGTTTGAATAGAGCGTTCAGCTAAACCGTTTGACCTAGGTAAGTAAGGACTTGAAGTCTTATGTTCAATGTTCCAGTCCCGACAAAATTGTTTAAATTCTTTAGAATTATAAGGCGGACCATTATCCGAAATAAAAATTTGTAGTATACCATGTCTCGCAAATATTGATTTAAGTTTTGTGATTACTTGAAGACTACCATATCCAGAATTTAAAAGATCTATTTCAATAAATTTTGAATAATAGTCCACGACTAATAAATATGGTTTTTTGTTAAATTCGAATTTATTACAACCGACCTTAAACCACGGAATTTCGACCATATCATGAGATTTAAGTTCCTGTTTAAGATTAGAATTTTGAAATTTTACACAAGTTTCACAATTTGATATTAAGTTATAAATGTCATTGTTTATGTTTGGCCAATAAATGGAAGATTTAGCTAAATTTTGGTAACGCTGAATTCCCATATGACTTTCATGTAAACGATGTAGCATTTTATCACGTAGGCTAGTTGGAATTAAAATCCGAGAATTTTTTAATAGAATATTGTCTATGATATGTATGTCATCCTTTATTTTGTAATATGGTACTACACTTTTATCTACTAATTTTTTATTTTCAGGCCATCCATTTTTTAAATATTCTTTAATTTTTTCAAATACCCTATCAGAGTCAGAGCAGTTTCTAATTTCAATTAAATCCGAATCAGGAAGTGAAATTTGTGACATTAAAAAATTGCAATGAAGTGATATATCCTTATCAACTTCGGTTAGTGAGTTTTCTTTTAAAGAAGCCCCTGAAAGTGTGTCTGCTTTATACAGAAATTTACCAGGTCTATATTGGACAGTTAAATCATATGCCTGAAGGCGTAACATAAAACGTTGTAGTCTGGCAGGTATTTGATACAAAGGCTTTTTAAATAACGAAACCAATGACTTATGATCGGTTTCAACCAAAATACTTAAACCATATATGTATTGATGGAAGCGAGTGCATCCAAAAAGTATAGCTAAAAGCTCTTTTTCTATTTGAGCGTAGTTGCGTTGCGCATCCGTTAAGGAGGCCGATGCATACGTAATTGGGTTCCTGTCATGTAAAATAGTTGCACCCAATGCGTACCCAGAGACATCAACAGATGAAGTCAGTTGTCTTTTTGGGTCAAAATAAGTTAGAACTGGCGTTTTTGTTAATTCAGTCTTTAAATTGTTGAACTCCTGTTCGTGAATCGAGTCCCAGTGCCAGGGAATGTCCTTTTTTAAAAGATCGCGCAAATTTTTATTTTTTGATGACAAATTATCAATAAAACTCCCTAAATAATTCACCATGCCAAGGAAACGTTGTACATCTGGCACCGATTTAGGGGTCGGCATTTCTAGAATTGACCTAATTTTATCAATGTCCGGTTTAACTCCATTTTAATTAAAGACGTGACCTATAAATTTAATTTCTTTTAAAAATATTTTTGATTTGGCCCTGTTAAATTTTAATCCAACCTGTTTTGCTCGTTCTAAAACTTTTGTTAATATTAAATTATGTCTTCATACGTAGATGCATGAATAAGAAAATCATCGATATATATTATTAATCCTTTAATGTCCCCAAAAAGTTTCACCATTTCAGCATGAAAAATTTCTGGCGCAGCATTTATAAAAAAAGGCAAGCGTAAAAAACGAAAACGACCAAAAGGCGTGTTAAAAGTACATAGTCGAGAAGAAAAATCGTCCAAAGGAATCATCCAGAATCCGCTATTTGCGTCCAGCGAACTAAAAAATTTAGAGCCAGCCAATTTCGATTTACATTCTTCAACATTCGGAAAAGGGTAATGCGGTCTAATAATTGCCTTATTTAAATGTCTAGGATCTAAGCATAACCGTAAACGCCCGTTAGGTTTTTTAACTAAAACTAGCGAGTTTACCCACTCGGTAGGCTTGCTTTCTGGTATTATAACTTTTAAATCTATCATTCTTTGTAATTAATTTTTTAAATCTTCATATAGGCTAAATGGAATTTTACGTGGAAGGTCGACAACCGGTAAAATATCTGGTCTTATATTTAAATTACATTTATTTTTTAAAAGACCTAAACCATCAAAAACACTTTCATAATTTTTTTAAATTTTTTCAGCACAAATATTATTTATTTGTTTAATTAAATTCATTTTAACAGCTGATTCTAGTCTTAAAATATTCTTGCAATAATTGATATCGAGCACGTAAAATTTTTCATAAAATATTTCATTTTTAAAATTTAATTTAAGATCTATGACACCTAATATATTTAATTTTTCTCCACTAAATGTAAAAATATTAATTTCTGATTTTTTAATAAATTTAATTAAATTTAATTCTTTAATAATATTGATTGGAATAACATTGGCTTGTGCCCCTGTGTAAATCTGAAAAATAAAGTTATTACCATTAATTGTTACCTCTACATGTTCATATGTTGTTGCACTTTTTTCTGAATTCAATGTGATGTTGTTAATGTTAAGATTTCCAATAAAGAGATCATTTTCTTGTGTTTCAGCTGCTGTATTAATATTTTTAACATATTTAGCTGGTTGACGCATATTAATTTTGCTGTTAAGAAAACACATCTTGGCATAATGATTTGTTTTTTTGCATAGACGATATACCTCTCCATGGGCGGGACATTTTGTTTTGTGTATTTGCCCACATTTTCCACATGTTGACGACTTTTGATTTTGACTAAATTTTTCCAAGTTTTTTGTTGACAATTTCTGGTTAGATTGCGGCATTCTTTTTTGATGATATTTATTTTTGTTAAAAGAACGTGTTAAAGCTGAGACGGAGAATTTTCATTTGATTGTTGTAGTTGTGATGTATTGCTTTTTGCAGTTTCAATATTTTTAGTTATATCGATCGCTTTTTGAAATTTTATATTACCTTCGCTTAGTAATCTTTCTTTAATATGTGAAAGATTTGACGACAGCCCACAAATAAAAATATCTTTAACCAAATCTTCACGTAGATCATTAAATTCACAAGTGAGACTCAAATTTTTTAATTCTGTTACATACTCCTCAATCGTTTCACTATTAGCTTGTTTTCGACTAAAAAATTTGTGACGTTCCATAGCTATATTAACTTTCGGTATAAAATATGAATCTAGTTTTTTAATTAAATCATCATATTTCACTGCATCGATGTCCATGTTGAATGAATTAAATATATGTAATGAATCAGTAATGTTATATGTAATGAATCATATATATGTAATGTTTGATGTTCCAAATTAGAAACACGTAGAAAAATTTTAAATTGGTTTTTCCAATTTTTCCAAGCTAAAGAAAGATTTGATGCCTTTAAATTCATTGGCGCAATTGTTGTGGCGACTGATAACATTTCTTGCACTGGTAAAAATGATGGTATTGATGATTTCGATGAACTTTCCTCGTTCGGTATTTTGAACAAATTTAATTAATTATCCGCTACAATTATTAATTTCATGCGCATATGACCTCGTTGACTCTGAAATATTAATATCAATATACAATTTGACACGTGTAGGTACATATATATGATATTACACCATATACGTTCAATATGACTTTATAATTTTTTAATTTTAATTTAAATATTTTATTTTTTATTTTAATTTGATATTTAATTTGTGTCGACTTTAATTTGTTAAATATTATTTTATTTTAATTAGAAAAAAATTTACATTTTTAATTTTATTCTTTTACACCTGACACCATGTTTTAAAAGTAATAATGCATCAGTCAGTGTCTTATTAACAACTGCTTTTATTTTATAAAAACTAAAAGTACATAGGTATAAAATATGGCTAATACTAAAACATAAAACATAATTGTTTTATGTGATAATACATTTATGATTAAGGTTAGTTTACATTAAAATTCATTAAGATGTATTTACATACATAACACTATCCTCCACATATACTAGCAAAAGTAAGACAAAGCGGTTGGGCGAGAAAGAGGTGGCAGCAAATGCGTTTCATAGTTGAATCGTAGCAACTAAGATGCTGCATTAGAAAATACAAGGAGGAATTATGCTCAAAATTTGACGGCGTGTAAGAAACCAATTACTCACTGTGAAGGGCAACAAAGAAAATGAAGCAACCTATCAAACATCTCGCTCCTAATAAAACAAGGGTGGAACGTGGGCAAAAACTGACAAAGACTAAGGAAATGCGTTTGCGGATCATTTGGCCGATATATTCTGTCGGCTTGACAACCAAGGCTTGCATGAAAATAAGGAATCTGCTTTTGTTGAAGATAGCGTAACTATTCCGATTGTCAAGGAAAGAGATGATGTAGAGGAAATCATGACTCTTTAATCTAAAAAATCTCCGGGCTTTGACCTAATAACGGCCAATATTTTGAAAAAATAACCCAAAAGGGATATAACGATGCTTACGCGCCTAAAAAATGCGTGTATAATTTTTGATTACATGCCTGAAATTTGGAAAGTTGCAGAAATAATTAAGATCTACAAGTCTGGCAAACCTATAGAAAAGGCGACTTCTTATAGACCAATCTCATTGTTGCCGATGATTTCAAAACCGCTAGAGAAACTTTTGCTGAGAAGGTTTCAGTCAATAATTGAAAGTAGAAAGTTAATCCCGAATCATCAATTTGGTTTTCGCCGGAACCACTAAACTATAGATCAGATTCATCGAATAACTGACCTAATAGAAAATTCACTGGAAGAAAAATCAATATGTTCTATTATATTTCTGGACGTAGCTCAAGCCTTCTACAAGGTTTGGCATTGTGGATTAAAAAAACTTTGACAATTATTCGAATTTTACCTGACTACTAGGGTATTTCGAGTTAAACAGGAAGAGGAGTACTCTTCGCTTAAGGATATCACGTTGGTGTTACCACAAGGGAGTATATTGGGCCCGATATTATACTTTTTATACACGTATGATATTCCTGAATCGGAAGGAGTGACAACGGCTACATTTGCTGATGATACAGTAATAGGATGAAATGAAAATGAATCTACTGAAAAATTACAAAAGGCCAGTGATGAGATTTCAATATGGACTACAAAGTGGAATATAAAAGTTAACGGAGTTAAACCAGTACCCGTGAATTTCACTAATAGGAAAATTGACAGTTCATTTTGGCCATTGGACGCGAAGATCAGATGAAAGGAGCACATAAAGAAAAAAGATCTCAAGACGAGGAGAAATGCAGGAAGTTTAAATGGCTTTTGGGAAGGCGTTTTTCGTTGTCAATATACAACAAGGTTTTGATATATAATCAAACATTTAAGCCTGTCTGGGCTTACGGTATTCAGTTATGGGGCTCCGTTTCCGACCAGTTTTATAATTTATTTTGAGGAAGGTGTTCTTTAGTGAATTAAAGTTCCACACTACTGCTTTTCGTCTGGCAGTGTCTTTTGAGATTTTTCACCCTTCCTCTCGGTAAAAAAACAAAAAAAAATTATTTATTTAATGTTAAATAGCTCAGCTTACAAAATTTTTATATTTCAGTGCAAACAGTGGTGGTAATGTTTCAGTCGGTATATACCAACCAAATTATACCCTGCACCTAGAAAGTCTGAGTCTTAAAATTTCTTTTTGAAATATCTAGAAGAAGCACTTATTATTGTATACCAATTACCCACTCTGATTGGACACAAAACTGTCCAACTATAGGTCAGAACCTGTTAAGCCATTCAAGGGATATATGTGAACTAAAATTGGACACATGAATGCCAAGTTTCATGAATCTGACTTTATTAATTTTCGAATATTTAAAATTGGCTTTTGGAGTTGTATGACAGGTAAGCGAACCTGTCAAGCAAATCCATCAAAACTTTGGAAATATATCTGACCTATAATTGGACACACGACAGCCAAATTTCATGAATCTGACTTTTTTATTTTTCTAGCTATTTAAAATTAGCTTTTGGAGTTGTATGGCAGCCAACCGAACCGATCCAGGGATCCTATCAAAATTTTTAAGGTATTTGTAAAATGTAATTAAACACACGTGTACAAAATTTCATATCTATTCCTTCATTAATTTTAGAAATGTTTATAATAAACTCTTTCAATTTTATGGCAGCTATTCGAACCCGTTGTCCGAATTGGGCAATTACAATAGGGTTCGTTCTTGGCAGAAAAGAAATAACATATGTAAGAGCAGCCTGTTTTTGGAACGATGAGGCCTAGCAAACCGAACTAGGGGCCGAATTTACATTTTTCATCATATCTGTGAAACTAATTGATAGAATTTCTTGAAATTTGATATTGGAGTTCTGGTTGTTACCGAAACTAACTGGCGAGCATTTTAGGGAATTCTGGTAGCACAAAGCGAAACTCTACTAAGAACCAAATTTACATTTTTCTAGGTATGTTAATTAAAAGCTTACTAATGCACTAAAAATTAGAAAGAATTATTTAAAAGGCATTTTTATATTCTGTACTACTTTCACTTAACTAGTCAATATTGCGGTCGGTTATGTGCTGACCACGTCAGATTTTTTATTTTGCTATTTAATGAAATTCTTGTTTTAAACAAAAATTTTGATATCAATTTATGACTTTCAAAAAAGTATGACACAGCTTTGTTTATTTTTATAAAAACTAATTAGTTCGCCTTGACGAACAATATTGACGTTGAAGATATACATACAAATATATATATATTCAACCAAAAATTCGCTACTGTTTTGGATTATAAAATTGCTTAATGAGGCAAAAAAAGTAAAAACCTGGTAAAGTATCTCGCCTGGTAAAAGGTATGTGAGTGAAATTATTTTGTTTCTGGAATGTAATTTTGAAGTAAGAAAAAGTTTTCGTGTTGTAATATATGTTACGTTACCAAAATGTATCTAACCAAAATTTGGCCATCATTCATTCACGTTCTTTAGCTCTGACAAATTTAGTGAATATATTTAGAAAAAACGTAAAAAATGTGAATGTTTGATTGAAGAAAAGTAATCCGTTTTTAAATTTATTCTTGAAATAAATGCCATTTTAAGAATAGCAACAACTTTAAATTTTGAAATTTAAAATAGAATTTTTAAAATGATTTCGGTAATAATATTAAAATTTGATTTAAATTATTTTAAATACACGTTTAAAATGTCATTAGTCATTGTCAATAATGTTTAAAATGTCTATTGGTATCGCAATCGATATTCCCGGTATATGGAAATCAAAGTATATCTATCAAGAAGTAGTTCGACTCTCCGTTTACATCACACTAATGCTATCACTCACCAATATTTGTATACAAAAAATTACCTTAGCTAAGAGTTAAGCAGTATACCTTCTTATTTTCATTTTTATACACGTAAGAATTTTTGAGACAGAGAGAGTATTTTTGATTTTGAGAGAAAGAGTACGCAATAGATGTCTACCTGTTATTACCAATGTAGGTGATACGATATTGCAATAGTTAGGTGATGTGATGGCAACAAATTTTGCATATCGTGTTTTCGGTGGAAATGCACTTCTCCATGGTAGGGAAGTGTAAATAAACTATATTTAGCAACCTGTCGGGCTGTGTGTGCACGCGTGTATCTCAAGTCCAACTGAACCGACTTTGATGAAATTTTATATGTAAGTTTATTTCGACCATGGCACAGATTGATCAACTTTTGGGATATATCAGGCCTCGGGAACTGCACTTTTTGCGGTTAAATGATCCGCAAACGCATTTGCTTTGTCTTTGTCAGTTAAAACAATTAATATTTCTTATGAATATACATAATTTTTATGCCTCGTCTACATTGCGGCTTGACGTGAAAGAGTACTTGGCGTAAAATCAGCTTAATCTGCGTTTTTACTATGTTAGTTTAAACGCCCAAAAACGACGTTAAGATGTTTAATTTTAAATCATTATCAACAAGTCAAGTAAGCGGCTTGAGTGAAGGCTACAGGTCAAGTAACGTTTATATAGACAATAACACGCTTGAAGCAGGCATATAAATGGGGTACATACATGTTACTACATCATATTGTATATCTACCTTGAACAGGTATGTACCGTATAACAAAGTATGAAATTTTAAATTTGTAACTATTACTTTCATACATTCGAATGTGTTTACCTAACTTTTATGAAATGAAAAATAAAATATGAAAAAAAAAAATTATGTTGTTATCAAAATAAAAATAACAAAATTTTTTAATTACTTAATTTAATTTTATTTCAGTTCGAT